TTCAGTACAAAGCAATTTAGCGCGCACTATTCGCCCAGTCAATCTCGCATGGATTTTCATCATATATATGTAACATAATTTATGTACCATACTTAAACTAAATATTACCAGCTATTTGAAATTTTTAAAGTTCTTTAGTTTCCAATCTTCATATAACATTCTGTAAGAATGTAAGAAAAAAATATAGCTTTCTGCTCATCTCTTTACATTTTAAATATTTCATTTGTAAGTGTTACATTAAAATTATAACCACGCTTGATTACCGCGAAATTTACCACGAAAACCGCCTCGCATTCCACCACCTCTGCCACCGCCGCCACGATTGTAGTAGGGGCTGCCGCCATGACCGCCGCCACGTGGGGGACGTGGAAATCGTTCGTTACGAAAATGATTTTGTTGCGGTGAATTGCCCCAACCAGGACCGCCACCTCCTCCACCACGACCGCCACGATAGTTAGCATTCATAGGGAAATTACCAAAGGGCAAGGGGAAGGGTGGGCGCGGAGGCGGCGGCACATTACCGCCACCACGGCCATGGCCACCATTATGCCAAGGCGCTTGATTCCACATTTCTTGCTGTTGCTGGTGCTCTTGCATTTCCATATTGATGCCTATATTTTGTGGCTCATAAGTTGGCATGTTGATTTGATCTAACTGGTTGCTGTCCCAGACCGGTTGTGGCACATATTCGGGCGGTGTTTCCAACAATGCTGGCCTCACACTAACGGCACTAAGCTGCTCTTCTTCATTTAGATCCTTGGATGTATCGAGTAGTGATGCATCACCACTGCCTATCGATTGCTGTGAACTATCCAGCTGGTCGCTTGTTTGCTCATTCACCTCTAAAGGAGGCGATCAGTCAGGAAAGCGGCATTGAGAAAAGGCAAACAAAAAATTATGAATGTAATAAAAAATATTGAAACTATGCAGTTTTTAGAAAGCAAACCTCTCAAAATTTCATCAAGATCCTCATCGGACATGTCCATATCGATAACCATATCGGAGGGATCATAGCGCGCACTACCAGAATCTTCTTTGTCCGATGACGAGCCTAAAATATATGGAGCAGATGAGGAGTTTGAGGATCATTAAATGATTTACTTCTCGCTAAAGAATTCATATTTATACGTACTGGCGTTGTTTTTTTGCGGAGAATTCGTCTTCTTCTGAAAGCTAGGAGGCGGCGGCGCCATCAACTGCAAATAAAAGTTAATTATTTCGACTTAAATGTGCGGATGGAACTTATAAGAGTAGANGGGATCATTAAATGATTTACTTCTCGTTAAGGAATTCATATTTATACGTACTGGCATTGTTTTTTTGCGGAGAATTCGTCTTCTTCTGAAAGCTAGGAGGCGGCGGCGCCATCAACTGCAAATTAAAGTTAATTATTTCGACTTAAATGTGCGGATGGAACTTATAAGAGTAGAGGTCTTTATTGGCAATATATAAAAAGAAAAAAATATGTGTAGTCTGGAACTTACGCCAGGTGGTTCCGCATCTGATGAATCTAAAGCAGGTACCGGCATTGGCAGCGCACGGTAATCCACATCGCCTGTTGTATTGTCAAGAAAACTCTAAAATGCAGTAAAGAAAGGAAATAGTAAAAAAGCATTTGCTTGATTTAATTTACGAAGTAAAACTGCTCTCGATAAATTTTTTGCTCATTTCTAACGTTCTGATTTAAAAGNAGTTGTATTGTCAAGAAAACTCTAAAATGCAGTAAAGAAAGGAAATAGTAAAAAAGCATTTGCTTCATTTATACTACGAAGTGAGACTTCTCTCGATACATTTTTTGCTCATTTCTAACGTTCTGATTTAAAAGAATACACTAAAGAAAAAAGCATGACTTACCGCATCCTGCGAGAGCCATGACTTTTTGTCACCATCACTTCCACCCGGCGAACCGGTCAACGAAATCAAATTTCTATGATCGATATCCAATTGACGTGTTTTATCTGTAAACAAACAAAAATTACTATTAAAAGAGGAGCAGCTGTCATAAGAGTTGTGGCTACACCACCAACCCCGAAACCGGATTGATATCGGGATTAGCATTTTCATATTAAACAAGTTTTACGCTGTTACAACAATTATATAAAATTAAATAACAACAATCTTGCAATTTGAAGGAAAAATAATAACCCAATACCACCACCAACCTTTACTCAGCCCCAATTTAACACCTAAATCCACAGCGGGCAGATCGAATGCTGGCAAATGCAATGTACGATGATCAACATCTTGTTGTGATATCAAAACATTGCTTGTATGATGCTCATTATATTCTATAGTCGCGGCAATGCTGCTACTAGCCTCACGCTCAAAGTGTGGCGGTGAAACGGGTGTATCTATGCTTTCAGGCGTGTAAGATGAGTTAGATAAATTGGAATTATCCATTGATGTCCACGACATATTCATATTCCATGTGGAATTAAAATCATCATTGCCATTATTAGGTCCACGCGGCGCTCCACCCATGCCACTTCGTCCACTAATGTTATCCAATGGATTAATATTTGGCATTGGCGGAGGTGGCATTATGGGTTGCGGCCCGGCACTCGGATTGGCGACACCAACACCGCCACCATTGCCACCACCATTGTAACCGCTGTCGGGTGTATAACTGGGATTATACTCATGATTTAAGCCATTGTTTCCACCAAATAGTGTTGATGTAGGTGGTGGTAATAAACCGCCATATTGCTGCGCTGAGCGTGCAAGTGACGAGTAACCCGATTCTACAGGCGGCACTGGCAGGGGATTCAGACCAGGTATGGAAATGTTGCTGCCACTTGAATATGGGGTTAATGGCTCAGGTTTGTAATACTCCGTGCCGGAGCTGTAGCTTTCATCGTCCGAACGTGAACCTATTACTTCAATCGGCTGACCT